ACCAGGGTGAGTCAAAAAGTCCTCAGACGGATGTTGTTGTTTCTGCAAGTGTCTGGTGTTGATCACTTCAACACGTTAAGCCTACAGTTCCCGACTTGTTTTGGCTGCTGACCCCGAAGTGAAAGAACACAGATGTTTAATATTCTGTGGTGTGTTTTTAATCATTATGTTAAAAAGAATTATAATTAGTTGAAAGTTGAGGTAAATCTTTACAGCAGAGAGGGCCCTGTGTCACAGATTGGGGATTAGGTCAATCCTTTAGTCTAAATGAAAGTGAGTGTGAATGTTAGTGTGAATAGTTGTTGTTGAAATGTTTTGGCAAATTGTTTCTATGGCAAAACACTTCCTGATTGGTAGGAAGTGTGGCCATTATTACTCAGCATTTTTCAAACTTCAACTACAGTGGGGACTTCCTTGGTTCCATGGAGACCTGGAGACTTGGTGAATCTGCTCCACATATTTTCACATTCAAGAGTAAGTTTTTCTGCCTTTCATAATTCCATTCTCAGCGGGTGGATTGAGGCCAACTCTCCTTTTGTCCAACTTTTTCACCTTTGTCAGGTTTTTTTCTGCCCTGAAATCCTCTTACATCACATTCACACACCACGCTCCTGAGAGCAGCTCTCATCATCTGACTGTTGGCCACCGCGGCCACGAGGGATTAAGTGCTTTTGTGAAGGACGGCAGAGAAGAAAAAAGAGCATTAGTTTTCACTTTCCAGCCTTTCAGTTTTAAAATCACTTCTCCAAACTCAACGCTCACGCCTTAGTTTATCCACACTCCAGAAAACTCTGGTGCACGTTGAGGATAAATGATGACGCTGCTCAGCAGGACCTGCTCAGGATTCCATGGTGTCTGGTGGGACCTGGTGAAGAAGCAGCAGGTGTGTGGAGACCTGGGTTTATCAGGTTATTCTGCTCTGAGATGAAATTATTGTCTGCAAGAGGTGATGTAGAATGTCCAGCAGGGGGCGGAGCTGCAAAACAAATTGTTTTTGTTTGTGTAACAGTGTTTGTGTGACTGATGTTGCAGCAGTAGGTTTTATTAACAAAACAAAAGGCCTCACAAGAAATTGATGAAGTGCAAACTGACATCAGCAGAATTGTTATTTGTACCTGTTGATATTTACATTATTTACATCTTTCTGCTCATTTTTCTTTTTCTTCTTGCTATTTTTCTTGTTTCTGTGTCTTTACCTTTAATTGGTAACAAGACTCAAAAAAAAAATCCAAGCTCATCTCCTAATCTTCAGATCTGTAAATGTCGTTGTCTGCTTTCTTTAAAGCTGACGACGACGTGGTGGTGTGTTAATGTGACTGCAGCTGACGGATGGAGTGAATATAAATGCTGCTTTAATAGATTTTTGTCTGACTACATCAGCAACCAGCCATGAAAACTGAAGCAGAAGGATCAGACGATGCTCCTCTGAATGTTTCTTTATTTAGGCGTTTTGGAGGAAATCGAAAGTCTGTGGCTCAGAGTGAATGAAATGATGAAGAAGGCTGTTGTTAGACAACATTAAGAAAACAAAGAAAAGAAAAAAAGGGACACTGATGGAAGGAAGAGGGCGGATGTGATCTATCACTGATTACGCTCATATTCAGACTGGAGTGTACTCAGAAAAACAGAAAGAGTCTTTCCTAACTGTTACTCATAGAGGACATTGTTTTCCGTCCTCTCTTTATCATCCTTCCTACTCTTCCTGATTGTTTCCACTTTTGTCTGTTTTTTTAAAATATTTGATTTAATTGGCTTATTCGTTCATTTAAACTTTAATCAATCATTTTTATGGACACACAGTGGGGGGGGGCATATTTTTGTAAACGTTGTACTGTCTGGGTCTGATTCAGCCTCAGATTCAGAGATGCTGTCGTAGCTTTAATATGAAGCAGCAGCCGTCACCACGCCGTCCTGCAGACAAGAGCTGGCATGTATGAAATGTAGCTTCAGTAAGGCTGGAGCCCCTGCTGAAGTCTGTGCTCTCGTGTGTGCAGACTGCTGTCATGTTCTATATGTTGGAGAGAGGAGAATGTTCTCCTGGCTGCAGACACTGACCCGCAGCACCACATGTCTGTCTGCACTAAACGATCAGAGGCTGCAGTAGAAATGTTCATTTTGATGAGCTCATTATCCTAACATTAAAACGAGGCTCACCTGCAGCTGCGGCTGACTGCAGCCACACAGTGCCTCCTGTGTCTTTATTACAGCCCAGGGCCACGGTGAAAAGACTACAGCTCAGCCGAGTTCTTGTGGCAGAAGGACTTGGTCCTACACGGCCCTTCATGTAACCATGGCAACAGAGGCAGAGGGCCTGATGGAATCAATTGTAAGAAGGACTCCAGTCACTGATGTTTGTTTCTGCATCGGGCACAGAAGAGGACTGTGGGAAAAGTGTGTTTGCTAGAAGAGCAGCCATGTTTACTTTGGTAAACAGTGGGGTGGGATTTGTAAAGTTTATAGTTAATTAAAACTTGAGTGTGAACTGCACAACGATGCTCATGTGTCTGATACAAATACTGCTGCTGCTGCTGCTGCTGCTGCTGCTGCTGCTATAGAAACCAGTGTCCACAGCCAAGGACTCAGGCAGGTTTACAGAAACAGGACCAGAGAAAGTCCAAACTGGTACTGTTCTCAGTATCTGCCAGCTGCTGACAGAACAATTTGGCTGCATTTGTCTCAGTCGTAGTCGTTCAGATGTGTAAGATTCAGTGTTGGGAAACTGATGTAGGTCATATTTGACCAAGTTTAGCCCATGATATAGATAATTGAAACATAGAAAAGTTAATTACGTGTAATTTTAATAAAGATGCAGCGATACTCGAAGACGTGAGTTGACACTATCATGTGGTGCAGGGTTTCTTGTATCCCTGTCAGAAAATTTGAAAAGATAATGTGCTGGCTGAGTATTCGTACCACGTACCAGGATGCTGTTTACGTAGACCTACACCGACCTCTAGGGGAGAGTAAAGGTAAGTAAAGTCCATGTGAAAATGATAAAACGCATTCTTTTATTTCCGTTGGACCATCGTCAAGTGAGGGGTTATTTTGGACGAGGGTATTAAACCCAGACTATTGGTGCTTTGGCAGGGATTCAGAAACTAGAATTCATACAGCAAACAGCACAGGTTCACACTGTGACACATTTTTAAAGCTCATAATGGGAATCTGGCCTTTAATTATTATTATTATTATTATTATTATTATTATTATTATTATTATTATTATTATTATTATTATTATTATTATTATTATTATTATTATTATTATTATTATTATTATTATTATTATTATTATTATTATTATTATTATTATTATTATTATTATTATTGTTATTATTATTATCGTCACAGAACCAAACCCCGGTCGGTGGGGTTTAAAAACGGAGTTCGTTCTCAACAGATGATTGGTTAAACTCTTCGTCCAATCACGATCATCCTGTAAACTGTGTCAGACTGTGTTTTTCTTTTTTTCCAGAAGGCAACCTCAGTAAAGTTTACTGTCACAGATTGGATTTCACTTTTACTCTTGTGATTATTCTTCTTCGACTTCCACATGGGTCTTTGCGAACTGGTCGTTTATTTAAAAATAAAAAGCAATCGTGAGTTTGTGGATTTTATTCCTCTAAATCGCCCAAAAACTGCTTTAGCACAGGGTGAGCCACTTAGCATGAAAACCACCACTTTCATTATTTACAGCTTCGGATTTAACAACAGATGGTAAGTTACTGAAAAGTTTTCTCTTTGTGCGTTTTATTTGAAATTTAATATTGGGTATATTTATTTTACGGAAGTTTGTCTACAGTTGAACTGGAAATGACTGCTAACAGTTAGCCTGATGCTAAATGGCGCAGACCCGTACCGGAAACCCGATTTGTTCTGCGCAGGTGCCGATACTTGGTTTCGGGCAGTGTTGGTGAAGGCTGTGCTGCCTTCACGAACCTTCACGAACCAAGGATTTTAGCAATTTGGCGTAAAAACATTTGTACAATGTACAATGATAACGTTTATCAAACAGAGGATATGTTTATTTAGCTTTTGTTCGGGTATTGGGATATTGTATTAAACTAGAAATAATTATGACTTGAAATAAATTATATATATGCAAATGTTTGCGAACGTTTTGATACTTTTTAGAGGTGCCCAAGGAGCTTTAGATTTTAAAATTTCCACAATTTTTTAAAACCGTAAATCAGGCATTTGGTTCCTCTTGATAACAACGGCCTTCGGGGTTATAAACTCGTATGGAACCATTTTGATTTCATTAATTTTTTATTGCTAGTCATGTGGTCATATCAATATACGAAAAACTTTTACGAAACGTTTTAAAGCTCACTAGTCAATGCTGAACCATCACAGCAAGTG